CGAGCTGTGCGCTTCGTGGTGGTGGTGCTGTGCGGGTGTTGTGTGGCGGCGTGCGGATGCTGTGCGGTGTGCGGGCAAGCAGGCTGCAGCCGTGGACGCAGCTGCGTCGCGTAACGGGAGGCAGCAGTGTCAGGGCGAACAACCCAAGGGCGGTATTTGGCGCAGGTACGAGATGGACGCAGACGCGCTGCATTTCATCGTCATCCACGACAAGAAGAGCGGCGTCCAGTTCTGCCGAGGGCAGTGTGTGCTGGAGCTGTGGCAAGCCTGCGGGAGCCAGCGGTGCCTTCTTCTGTGCTGCCTGCGGTACCATCCAACCCCCGCACAAGGGCACACCCAACTACTTTTCTGTCCTCGACTTGTGAGTGCATATGTGTGTGCGAGATTGTGTGTGTGTGTGCGGGATTGTGTGTGTGAGAGCGAGATTGTGTGTGTGTGAGAGCGAGATTGTGTGTGTGTGAGAGCGAGATTGTGTGTGTGTTTATGTGTGGAGGCAGTGTGAGTGTGTGATTATGTCTGCCTGTCCGTGTTTGCCTCCCTGTGCTCACGCCAAAGCTGCGCCTGTTCTTCTTTCTCCTCCTCCTTCAAAAGGCCAGCGGCGTTTGATGTGGATCTATCCAAGGCAGAACAGACCTTCCGCTCGCTCCAGACAAAGTTGCACCCAGATCGGTTCGGCATGAAGTCCGAGGTGGGATGTGAGATGCATCCAAACCTGTCAGCCTGCACTGCGCTGAAGCTTGCGTCGCGCCTGGCATGTGCCTCGTATTGCCTCTCACGGCCAACACTTGTCCCTGTCCCTGTCCACGTGGTTGCAGAAGGAGCAAGAGTATTCAGGCCAGCAATCTGCGGTTGTCAACGACGCGTACAACGCCATCCGCACGCCTCTTAGTCGCGCCCTCCACCTGGTCAGTTCGCAGAGGAACTTCACGCCTCACTTTGCAACGTGCTTGCTGGTTCAAGCAAACACACGCGCGCACTCTTCTGCCTCAACGCCGTTTCGCTGTCGTTCAATGATTGCAGCTGGACTTGAATGGAAACGGCGTTGCAGAGCAGGAGAAGGCAACAGACATTGAGTTCCTCATGGAGGTGATGGAGGTTCGTACCGTGATGTGCTCTGTGTGTGTGTGTGTGTGTGTGTGTGTGTGTGTGTGTGTGTGTGTGTGTGTGTGTGTGTGCGTGTGTGTGTGTGTGTGTGTGTGCGTGTGTGTGTGTGCTCTGTGTGTGTGTGTGTGAGTGTGTGTGTGCACTGGCCCTTCTCACGTCTCTTCACACCCTCGCGTGCGTGCTTGCGTTGAATTGCGCAGTTGAATGAGCAGCTGGCGGAAGCAACGACGGAGGATGCCCTCCTTGCTTTCGAGGAATCACTCACAGGTGCGGTAGTCTGTACACGTGTACACGTTGTGGCTGCGAGTTCAGAGTAGGAAACGAAACGAAAGGCATTGCCTATGCCCCCATCCACACTCCACACACTTTTCCCTCACCTCAACCTTACTCCCGCACTTGTCTCTCTCCTCTCTCTTGCTTTCCCATTCCTCTGCCGTTTGTTCGTGCCCGCAGCTCGGCGCGACGAAACACTGAAGACGATGGCAGACACGTTCAGAGCTGGCGATATGGCTGCAGCGAAGGTACAAGCAAGCAGCTGTGTGTGTATGTGTGTGTGTGTGTGCATGTGTGTGTGTGTGTGTGTGTTGGTACGCAACCCGAATGCGTCCGTGCTTCCCACTCATAGCACAACACAACACACACGACACCACACCACACCTCAGGAGGCGACGCTGGCGCTGCGGTACTTTGACAACTTGCAGGACCAAGTGCACGACCGCCTGGACGCCGTCTAGCTGCTTGTTTGATGCTCGGTGGTGGTTAGCGGTTGCTGGTGCTTGCTGAGCTTGGTTGCACAGGTTAATGTAACACAGCAAACAACAGCAGAAGCAGCAGAAGCCACGCAAGGGTGGCGCAATGGAAACATGCAAACCCACACAAACAACCAGAGAACAACAACACAGTGCTCTTGTGCTTTCTTCTACTTGGCGAGGAGTGCGACATGGCCCTGGTGCTGGCGCGCGCAGAGTGATGACGGCCGTGGTGATGATGGGTGTGACGTTGGCGGTGATGTTGGTGGGACAGGTGGGCTGCGTAGGCGGGAGTGATGACTCCACGTTTATGCTGGCGCCACCAGCACAGCATCATGCCAACTTCGTGTCGCAGCCGTCGGCGTTTGAGGCGTGGGTGCATGGCCTTGTGCTTGCGCTGCCAGATGTGCGCGACGTGCACGCTGCGGGCTGGAGGGTGGACTTTGTCGACGGCAACTGCACAGACTTCACGTTCGAGGCCATTGCGCGGCCAGAGGGCAGGCCGCACGACCACAGCGAGCCGGTGCACGTGCGCGTGGAGGATGTGGCCACCAACTGCACGGCACGGTGGATTGCCACCAGCCCAGCCGGGACAAAGTCACATGGCCCAGCCATCCTGGACGTCTCGCGAAGCGACGTCACCTTTGTTGCAGAGCAGGACCAGTGTCACCACACGCCGTGTCTCCGCGCCAAGAACGTCACCTCCTCCTTCAACGTGAGCACCGTGTCATACGTGTGTGTCTATGTGTGTCTGCGTGTGTGTCTGCGCGCGCGTGTGTGTGTGTGAGTGTGTGTGTGTGTGTGTGTGTGTGTGTGTGTGTGTGTGTGTGTGTGTGTGTGTGTGTGTGTGTGTGTGTGTGTGTGTGTGTGTGTGTGTGTGTGTGTGGATGAATGGGAAGTACATTCGTGATGTGTTCATCTGTGCTCATCCTCTGTCTCCCTTTCTGTATTTCCCTCATAACAACAGGTGACTGATCTCGAGTTGAAAGATGCACCGCCGCAGCTACAGCTCATCTTCGAGATTGCCCGGCCAGTCGCCATCGCAGGTACATGCGTTTCGCGCCCACATCGAATACAGAACACACAACGACTGAGCTTTGTTCGCACACACACACACACTCTCTCTCTCACACACACACTCTCTCTCACACACTCTCTCACTCACACACTCTCTCTCACTCACACACACTCTCTCACTCACTCACACACACACACACACACACACACACACACATATACAGGGTTTGAGGTGGCGTTGGACGTGGCTGTGGACGCGGCTGTGGATGCGGTGGTGGATGTTGTTGGCTCTGGGATCCAATCGGACCTGCAGTACCTCGTGGACACATACGCCATCAACGCAACCGCGGCGCCACCCATCCCGCTCGCACCAGGTCAGCTGGCACGGCTTGTAGGCAGTGCCCTTGCCCCTGCGATAGGGAGTGGCCGTGCAACAGGGAAGCAGTGGTTTACAGGAAAGGCGGTGGTGCATGCTATTGTGGTTTGCTTCTCACTCACTCACTCACTCACTCACTCACTCACTCACTCACTCACTCACATACACACCTACGCACTCACTCACTCACTCACACACACACACACACACACACACACACACACACACACACACACACACACACACACGCACTCACACCTACGCACTCACTCACACACACACCCACGCTCTCACACCTACGCACTCACTCACTCACTCACACACGCACACACGCACTCACACACACACACACACACTCACTCACTCACTCACCAGATGCGGTTGACCTGCGGGACGACGGGTTCATATCGATGGTGGAGTACGTCGCCAATACCGTGTTTGCCAACAGCACCGACTTCAATGTGAATCAGATCATCTCCATCATCACAAACGGCACCAACGCCATCGACATCTCCGACCTCGCACAAAACTTCACGTATGTGCTCGAGCGAAACAACACCGGCAGCATTTCGCTTGCCCTGGACAGCGTGCGCGTCAGTGACCTGGACTCCATCGCCACCATCAACATGATGCAACCCGTCTCCGCCTCCCGCGTCACGTCGCGCCTCGTCTTCGACGGCCTTTGCCTGCAGGCAACGTTTGCCTACAATGCAACACTGCACGGCCCCGCGCTCAACAGCAGCGCCCCACTGGTGGAGAACGGATCTTTCACTGCCGTCTTCTCCTCGCTCGCAGGGACAGTCGACCTGGACTTTGACATCTCCACAACCCGGCTGCACGAGCTGTATGCGGAGAGCTACTACAAACCGGGCTGTCTTGCCAGCGCCGTGCGAGACGCAGCCGTCAGCCTCATTGCCACCTCGTTTGCGTTTGAGAATGCGACGCTGGTCGTGGCCGACGATGTGCATCTGGATACTCTCGTGAGCGACATCCTCGCCCTCGCCATCCACCCCTTTGTTCCAGCCCTGCCAAAGGTGCGCAAACGTGTTGCTGCGCTTGCTCGTGGCTTGGTTTTTCGTGTTGTGGCATGTTGTGTCGTGTTGTGTCGTGTTGTGTCGTGTTGTGTGCACAAGTGCGCCTGATGCAAAGCAAGCCACGTTGTCTCGTTCCACTAACTCATCCACACACACGCCCTGACACACACGCCTGGCGTACACACACGCACACACTCACACACACGCACACACACACACACAACATAGGTACTCAACTACGTGTACAACGGCCCTGTGCGCAATGCGCTGAACGAATATGTGCAGGAGTGGCTGTTCAAGTCCACGCAGTGCGTCAACACGCAGCCGGAATTCTGGTCCCCTTCCATCATCGCTGGTGGCGGCGGTGTCCTTGTGTTTGTCATTGTCGTGCTGCTGCTGCGGTTACAGCGACCCACAGCCGCGCACATGACCGCTCTCAGCATCAATGGCGACAACGACGCTGCTGCTGGTGACACGTTCAATAGCAAGGCGTCAAACCACCTCAAGCACCGCGACCACACCGGGTCTGCTGGACAGGTGGCAGGTGTGCTCGGTGGCGGTGACAACGTGCTGACGCGGCTGAATGCGAAGAGCAAATACGTCAGCTTTGGCAACGGCAACATCAACAGCACCGCTGGACGCGGCGATAGTGGTGGTGACCGGAGCGTTGTTGAGGCGAAGCGGCAGCGCGTGCCGTTGCTCTCTGGCGTCAACTGTGAACCATTGGAGGATCTCTATGAAACATATGCGCCGTGTTTCGGCAACGAGGCTGCCATCTCCACAGCCATGCGCTACGGCATGCCCATCATGATCATCTTCACGATTGTGCTACTTGTGATGTCGCAATCGCGCATCGCTGGCAGTGCATTCTTCAACGTGCACTACAACCACACGGACTTTCGCATGCCCGTGGTGAAGACACTCCTGTTCACGCGCACCGTGCAGGACATGTGGAGTGCGCACGTGTATGTGCTGGTGGCGTGCATTGTTGTGTTTTCAGGGGCATGGCCCCACATCAAGCTGGTGATGATGCTGTATGCGTGGGTGGCGCCCGTCGCCTGGCTCCCCGTCCAGCGCCGCGAGCTCTTCCTCCAGGTCCGCCCATGTTTGGATGTGTGTGTGTTTGTGTGTGTGTGTGTGTTTGGATGTGTGTGTGTGTGTGTCTGTGTCTGTGTGTCTGTGTCTGTGTGTCTGTGTGTCTGTGTGTGTTTGGATGTGTCTGTGTGTGTCTGTGTGTCTGTGTTGGGATGTGTGTAGGTATGTGTGCGTGTGCACGTGTGTGTGTGTGTGTTTGTGTTGGTTTGTGTGTCTGTGTGTGCACGCGTGTTTATTTCTGCCCTGCACAGACTTGTGTCTTTCCCCACCTGTGCCATCATCCAACACATCTAGCACCTCATGTCTCAACCCCCCCCCCCGCCCGGCACAACACGCGCGTTCGCGGCTGCAGGTGCTGGACTTCCTTGGCAAGTGGTCGATCATGGACATCTACGTCAGCATCATGCTGCTGGTCGGCCTCCACCTGCATGTGCCGCTCGCCAATGAGCACGTGACCGGCCCGGCGTACATCGACCTGTGGGTGGAGACGCGCCCCGCTGTGTTCTACTACTGGACGACAATCATGCTGTCGCTCATGCTGACACACGTCATGCTACACGTGCACCGGACAGTCGTGCACACCAACGCGCGCCTCACGCCGATGACAACGGAGAAGGCTGCGCTCTGTGGCCACCACTTCTACTCAAAGGGCAGGTGAGCAGGGTGTGTGTGTGTGTGTGTGTGTGTGTGTGTGTGTGTGTGTGTGTGTGTGTGTGTGTGTGTGTGTGTGTGTGTGTGTGTGTGTGTGTGTGCTTGTGCAATTCCTTCGTGTTCTGACCAGTCACCCTTCTCTGCCATGTCCCTCCTCGTGACTACTCCTGCCACCACGACAGGTTCTTCGTGCTGACGCTTGGTGGAAAGCTGTTCCTGGCATTTTGCATTGCTGTCACGCTTGGCGCCATCATCTTTGGTGTGTTATCGCTGACGTTCAACTGTTGCTGCTATGCCATTGCTGTGTTGGCACGTTCTAATAACGCCACATTACCCACTAACCACACACTCAAATAAACACCGACACCCACCACTGCCTCCCCCCCCCAAACTTTCGTTTCCAGGCATCCAAACGACCGCGTTTACGTTCCGCTTCAAAGGCCTGGCGGCGTGGTTGATTGCATACACGGGCGGATCAGACGACCGCTCATTGTCCGTCTGGGAAATGGCCGTCAACTTTCCCCACTCTGCCCAGCACCCAAACTCCGGCAGCGCACGGTAATGGTGGCGATGATCTTGGCGGTGGCGGTGGTGGCGGTGATGAAGAAGGATTGCTGTCCTTGCGTCCTTGCGCTGCCTCTTTGTTCCTCACAGTTCATATCACACACACACATGCGCACATACTGCAGGTTTGTGCAAGTTGTGTTTACGGTGTTTGCGGTGGCGCTGCCTGTTGCGCTGCAACTTATTCTGTCGGTGCTGTGGTTCGTCCCCATGCGACCAACAGCACACGCGCGCGTCTTCCACATCACCGAGATTGTGCACGCCTGGGCTGCACTCGAGGTAAGGCCCCTGTCATGATGTGTGCGATGATGTGCGATGATGTGTGATGTGTGTGACGTGTGTGTTTCTTCGTTTGCGCTCTTCGGAGCAACACATGCCGTCCAATACCTCGTGTTTCATTTTCTTGCACATACGCACACACGCACACACATACGCACACGCGCGCGACCACCAGGTGTTTGTGCTGGCGGTGATTGTTGCGCTGCTGCAGCTGCGGCCGCTGGCGCAGTTCATCATCGGCGACAAGTGCACGGGCATCAACGCTCTCCTGCGCATCCTCTTCGACTCGGAGCTCAAAGGCAACGACAAGGTGTGATTTTGTCTGTGTGTGTGTGTGGCGCGTGTCTGTGATTGTGTGTGTGGTGCGTGTGATTGTGTGTGTGTGTGGTGCGTGTCTGTGATTGTGTGTGCGTGTGTGATTTTGTCTGTGTGTGTGTGTGATTGTGTGTGTGTGTGTGATTGTGCTCTGAGTATGTGGCACGTTTTATTTTGCCCCTTGCGTTTGCATTCATGCTGAGCACATCTTCGCATCCCATCCCTTTTCCATTCGCTTGTTTGCAGTGCTTTGATGTGGAGACGGAGCTTGACACGGGCAGCTTCGTCCTCATCGGCTGCTCCGTCTTCTCCGTCCTGCTCACCCTCGCCACCCTCACCCTCTCGTCGCACGTGAGTCTGGCGTGTGATAGTGAGGAAAAGAGAGAGAGTGTGTGTGTGTATCTGTGTGTGTGTGTGCCATTTTCGTGTACACTGTCGTCATTCCCATGCTGCATTGTAGGCATCCTTCCCTGCCACCTCATTTACCAACACACACACACACACACACACACACACACACACACACACACACACACACACACACACACACATATCAGGCTGTGAAGGAGCGAAATGGCCTTGTGTCGCTCCGCAAACGCAAGGCGATCACTTTTATTCTTGGCAGCAGCAGCAGCAGCAGCAGCAGCGCCACGAGCAGTCGATACAGCAGCACGGCCTCGTATTACGACCAAGCCATCCGTGCATCTGTCTCCTCAAGAACACCCCGGTTTGACGCTATTCCTGAGCACGGCAGCACTGCCAATGGTGGTGGTGGTGGCGGTGGTGGTGGTGGCAGCGTGGTTGATGGGGGTGTTGGGGGTGCGAACAGCACCAATGGGGGTGACAGCAGGGGTGGTTTGCTGCAGCGTTGCGATGAGCGCCACTCACGACTCCACAGCAGCGGGATGGCTGGTGACCACGGCACGTTTGCGGGCCAAAGGCGTCAGCGAACCACCAGCTCGAGTGATGGTGGCTGCTGTTGCTGTTGCTGCTGTGGCGGGTGTCTTGGTGCCGTGTCTTCGTGGTGTGGCGGTGCGTGCCGTCGAAGGAAGCGGTGGGACGAGTTTGGCGATGGGAGCGACGATGCCCGCCTGCTGCTTGGCCGCGGCGGTGGCGGTGGTGGTGGTGATGATGGCTTTGATGGCGACGCGCTCGATGACAGTGATAGCGGGTGCGGGTGTGACCTGTGGGCCGTTGCCCAGGCCCTGCGCCTATGCAGGCGTGTTGTCTTTGTTCCCTCTGAGTAGCTTGTAGCTGGTAGCTCGATGCGTTGATTTGTTCACTTGATAGAAGAAGAAGAAGAGAAAGGCTTGGTTGCTCAAGAAGAGAGTCAAGGAAAGCAGGGAAGGCACAAAGCCAAACAAACACATAACACGGCACAACAGGAAGCAACAACAACAACGCATGGGACTGCGCTCAACCAAAGGCATGTCTGGTGACGGCGACGGCAATGGTAGCAGCGGCAGCAGCACGTGGCGCGAGTTGGGCAAGGTGCCGTGGCTGCGGGACTACGCGGCGGGTCTGAAGAAGGCGCACGAGGAGAACAAGCCCGTGCTGCTGCTGTTCCAGGAGGTGCCTGGGTGCTCCACATGCGTTGGGTACGGGCAGATGGTGCTGTCGAACCACGCCATCGTGGATGCAGCGAGCACGCTGTTTGTGCCTGTGGCCATCTTCAACAACAAGGGAGGCGCGGATGCAGAGGTGCTGCGCAAGTACCGCGAGCCGTCGTGGAACAACCCTGTGGTGCGCTTCATCGACGCCGATGAGCAGCAGCTTGCGCCCCGCCTCAACGGCGACTACTCCGTCAGCGGCCTTGCCCGCAGCATGTGCAAGGCTCTCGCTGCGGCCGGCAAGACCGCGCCAGCCGCGCTCACCGCCCTTTCCAAGTGACGTCGTTGCAACGACACTGTGCAATGTCGCATGCTGCCATGTATGATGTCGTGCATGATGCCGTGTGTGGTGTCGTGTGTGTATGGTGTCATGTATGATGCTATGTGCGTTCCTCCAACCACCGTGTTACTGTCACGCGTGCAACCTTACAGTTACTGTTGCCCTGCTCTTCCTTTCCTGTTCTACGTGCCTATTCCCTCTTGTTACACTTGGCGCTGTGCCATCGCACTCCTCCACTGCTCTGTGCGGCTCTGTGCGGCTCTGTGTGTGTGTGTCTGTCTGTCTGTCTGTGTGTGTGTTTGGATGACGACGTAGTGGCTGACAAGTGTCTCCCTGTGTAGCGCCCTCTGCCCTGTCTCCTGTGTTCCCCCCCCCCTACCCTCCGCCTTCGCCTCTTCCAGCTGTTACGACCGTTGACTGACACTGTGAAACGAAGTGTGTAAATGAAGCAGCCTGACCTAAAGCCCCGCGGCCACCACGTTCCATATCCATCCACTCAAGACTCCACCTCACATGACCCAAGGGAGCCACAACGGAGGCGGAGCAACAAGGGACAGGCGGAGAAGCAGAGCGAGCGGGGGAGGAGTTGTGAACCAAACATCAAACATGGAATGCAAGCACGACAGGCCGAGAGACAAAACACAAGGGTCACAACAGAGCGAGAGAGCGAGAGAGCGAGAGAGCGAGAGAGGCACATCAAGCATCAAGACCGCAGTGTCAAAGGGTAAGGGGGAAGATAACGAAACATGCACAAGCAAGCAAGCAGGTCGTGGCACGATATGCGTACGTTGTAGGAAGAGAAGGAAGCAAACAGCACAGAGACAAATCTACAACCACCACCAGCAGCAGCAGGAGAAACAGCAGCAGGAATAGCAGCAGTGCCACCACCACCACAACCACTGCCGCCACCAACAATCATCAATCATCAATCATCAATCATCAGCCACTGTTGTCACCACCATCCTCATGCGTCGGCCTACTCAAAGTTGTTGACGAGAGGCGTGTGCCCCTCCTTAGTCTTCTTCTTCTTCTTCAACTTGTCTGGTGTCGGCATGAAGAAGGCGGCAACGGCGATGACGCTCGCCACCACGATGAACACGCCAATCACCACCGCAAACGCGTGGCGCGCAGCCCAGGGCTTGAGGTGCTTGTGCGGCGGGCTTGGTGGATGCACCATCGTGTACACCCACGCAGACGCCGTGTCTGCATCGGTCACAATGGCGGTGCCGACAGCGACATCGGCCACGTCCGTGGACCTGTGATATGGGGTGGGGGGAAGGGGGGAATGGGAGATGGTGGTGGTGAGTACACGAAAAAGGTGGTGGTGGTGGTGGTGGTGGTGGTGGTGGTGGTGGTGAAAGAAACAGTAACAAGGAGAGAATTGGGGCGGGCCATGCACACACACACACACAACACACACACACGCACGCACGCACGCACACACACACACACACACACACACAACACAACACAACACGTGTGACTTACTCTGATGCCCAGGAGGTGAAGCCAGCGGGGTACTGTGCGAGGGTGGTGCCGTTGTTGGTGATGGAGTAGAGGAAGACGTCTGCCGATCGGCCCGTGGAGACCATCACCAGCGAGGCGTCGAGGGCCAGCGCAGTCGGACGCGGCGCAGCAGATACGAGCAGCCTGCGCAGGCGGTGTCGATTGAATGATGATGTGGAGTGGTGCATGGGAGGTGGGGGGGGGGGCGGTAATGGGTGGTTGTGAGGGCGGGGAAGAGTTGACAAAGCAACAGGATGGGTGGACGGCGATCAGGACGAACACAAACGAGATCATGTGTGTGTGTGTGTGTGTGTGTGTGTGTGTGTGTGTGTGTGTGTGTGTATGTGGTGAGGCAACAGGAGTGTGTGGCGTGGCTGAGGCAACAGGAGTGTGTGGCGTGGCTGAGGCAACAGGAGTGTGTGGCATGGCTGAGGCAACTCACCCCACGATGCCCCATGTGCCGTCATTCGAGTCACGTAGCCAGATCTGTGCAGCAGCATCAAAGGCCATGCGCAAGAAGGGGGGGGGTAACACGATGTGGGATGAGATGGGATGGGATGAGGGCAACGCATGTACACGCAGGAACAAAGCACAACACGACACAACATAATACGACACAACATATACAACACACATGCACATCATGTCACACTCACTCATTCATACACACTACCACACACACCAAACCACACAAACAGCGCACCCTGTCGCTGGCTGATCCGTCTTGGAGCCTGCCGCCCACGACGAGCAGGTGGTTCCCCAGGGCAACGACGGCAGCAGAGTCGAGCGGCCAGTCGTGCGCGCCGACCGGGCAGTGGATTGGGGCCCACGTCCACCCGTCGTCACGGCTCTCCCAGAAGCAACGCTCTGTGGCGGTGGTGTTGCTGCGCCCAAACCCAATGAACAGGGAGCCGTTGCTTGCACGCACGGCGGCGTGGCCAGCAAGTGCCGGCAGGGATGGCGGCGTCACCGTCAGCCATGTGTCGTTGCGGAAGAAGTACACGAGCATGCTGGCGATGGGCCCAATGCGACGCTCCTCATACGCCGCGTCAACGCCGTCCCATACGGAGGGCAGTGCCGCTGGCTTGGAGTGCTCGCCCAACATGGCACTGCGGCGGTTGCGGTCGGCCTTGGTGGTTGGTGTTGACTTGGTGGTGGTGGTGGTTGTAGTGTTTGTGGTGGTTGTTGTTGTTGTTGTCGATGTTGTTGTCGTTGTTGTTGTGGTGGTAGTTGTGGTGGTAGTTGTGGTTGTGGTTGTGATGTTTGCGGTGGTTGTGGTTGTGGTGGTGGTTGTGGTGACTGTGGTGGTGCGGTTTGCAGTGGTTGTGGTGGTTGTGGTGGTGGGTGGGCGCGTGGTGCTGGATGGCCTGAAGGCGCCACCAATGATGGCAACACGGTCATCACCGAGGCTCACGGCGGCCGTGTCCATTGGAAAGTCCTCTGGTGCAAACGCGGTTGTGTTGATGTCCGCCTGGAAGGTGAACCCCGTGCTGTTGAAGAGGAAGGTGCTGATGGCCGAATCGTTGATGACGGCCAGCGCCAGCTGCGAGTCCACCGTGACAGACACGACGTGGCGGTGCGAGTCGATGGGCAGCAGCATGGACCGCTCTCTCACGCGCATCTCCTCCGGAACCGCGCGCATGCAGCCCACGCTCACGTGCTCCGTCTCGCCGGGCACCGTCTGGCAGTACCCGGTCTTGCACGCGGGAATGATGTCTCCGTTGGGCAGGGTGGTGTTGCTGAACGTCCAGGCGAAGCACTTGGGCCCCTGGCGAACGCAGTGGGCTGCGCACTCCTCCGGCGTGCCGATGAGCAGCTGCAGGTCCAGGGACATGCATGTCTTGTCGTTGAAGGGCGCATATCCGCGGTAGCAGAGGTGGCCGTCCCCGTTTGGCGTGTCGTCCGCCGGTGTTGAGACTGATGACGCTGCTGCTGCTGCTGCTTCAGCAGCGTCTCCAGCGTCCAGCACGCCCAAGCCAGCATCGGTTGCCTGCGCTTCCGTGGCAGCCAGCAGCATCACCCCAAGTACGGCCAGTATCCTCATCATGCTCATCCTTGTTGCTGTGTTGTTCGCACGTCCAGTCGCAGCACCATCAACACCAGCACCAGCCATCGTCCGCATCAAGTCTGTGTCCTCCGCACTCACGCCTCCAAAACAAAATTGCGCCGCAAAGGAGAGAATGTGGGGATGCTACGATTCGCACAAGATGGCGCTGCAAAGTGCGCATTGTTTGCGCAAGCGCACATATCCGCCACACCCCTGAAATCGCACCGCAGAATTTTTTTTATTCTGCGCAAAGCAAGAAGACAACGAAGACGACAACCAAACACAAAGACCGTTGTTTCGTTGGTTGTTTGAGCGTGTGGTGGTGGGCATCATCAGCAGCATCATCGAGCTGCAACAGCCAACCAGCCGGCAGCATTGTAGCAGCATTGAAGCGGTAGCAGCCAGCCAGCATCTCATCAGTTTGGTGAAGCTGCTCAGGTGGCTGCGAGGAAAGCAGACGCAGAATAGTCAAAGCAAGCAAGTGAAGCAAACAAAGGGCGGTTTGCGTGAGAGAGTGTGTGTGTGAGCGACGCGGTTGGCGTGCTGATTTGTTTGTGAGCTCGACCTTGTTTGGTGTGCTTTGGGATTGACTGGTCAACCATGGCGGAAGTGGACGCACACATGAACCAGGATGGCGACCAGATGCTGCAGGGCCTGCAAGCTCTGGCATCAGACCTCAAGACCTACGAGGACTCCAACGGCATGGACGTCTCTGCACTCTCAGGTTAGGGGAGGGGGGTTGTGGTGCGTGTGTGTGTATGTGTGTGGGTGGGTGTGTGTGTGTGTGTGTGTGCGTGTGTGTGTGCGTGTGTGTGTGCGTGTGTGTGTGTGTGTGTGTGTGGGTGGGCTGTGCGGATATGTGTGCTGATGTACACAGCCTGTACGCAGCCTGTGCATAGCCTGTACGCAGGCTGAGCTTCTTACCTCGGCTGAACCATAGATGCTGCGAGTCACATGGCATGCACGTCACATGCTCTTGATCAACCCTCACTCCGCCCCCTAACGCACTCTTGCAGTGGACATTGCCACAAAGGAGCTGACCATGATGCAGCAGGTGTCCAACCTGCTGTCCTCCATGTCCACGGAAGTGTTGCGGCTCAAGGAGCAAGTCAACCAGCTCAACCTTGACAAGCAATCGTGAGTTGCGTGTATGTGTGTATGTGTGTGTGTGTATGTGTGTTTGAGAGCGCGGATGGTTTCAGTGATGGGTGGATGGGTGGATGCACACGCGTGGTGCATGTTCTCCGTGCAGTCCCGATTATATACGTGCACCTCACATGCGCAACGACAACCCATACATGCCACTTGCACACGCGCACGTTCTTGCAGCCTGCAAGAGCAGGTGGACGAGTTGAACGAGCAGCTGACACAGGCGGAGGTGGCCAATGCAGAAAAGGACGAGGAGATTGCCAGGCTTCAACGGCTTGGCCCACAACAACCAGACGTCGACATCTCAGACCACCCAGATGATGTGCGTCTACGTGTGTATGTGTGTGTGTGCATGTGGGTGTGTGTGATGAGAAACGGGCTGCGTGAGTATTTGTGCGTTGCAAGTTGTAGTAGGACACCACCACGCTCACCTCAATTACCCACGCCCTGCTGCTGCTGCTGCAGGTCAGCGAAATTGCTGTGCCAGAGGACCTTGCAGACAACCTCTCAGATGTAAGTGAGGCGATGATGAGGACGAGGAGGAGGAAGATGGCGCTGCATTTCGGTGTGTGTGTGTGTGTGTGTGTGTGCGTACGTGTGTGTACATCTCCCACGTGTATCCACACCTTGCCTTCTAATGTGTGTGTGTGTGTGCGTGTGTGTGATGTGATTGTCGCCCAACAGTTGGATCGCGCAGAAACAGCGTCACAGGTATGCACGCGCGTGCACTGTTGTGAGCACTTCGCACAGTGAACCATGAGCATCATCCCACTCGCTACCACCACTGTTACCACTTCCCACGCCATCCTATCAACCACCCACTTTGACCACAACAACAACAACAACAACAACAACAACAACAACAACAACAACAACAACAACAACAACAACAACAACAACAACCGCTCCGCCCACTCATCCCCCCATCCCCATCCCTCTTCCAATATGTCGTTTCAGGCTGGCCGGGACGTTGCTGCGTCGATGACGTCCATGTATGAGATTCCACAGCGCCTGCGCACGCTGCACAACCTCGTCATCCAGTACGCGTCCCAGGGCCGCTACGAGGTGGCCGTGCCGCTGTGCAAACAGGCCCTGGAGGACCTTGAGAAGTCGAGCGGGCGCGAGCACCCAGACGTGGCCACGATGCTGAACATCCTTGCCCTCGTCTACCGCGACCAGCAGAAGTACAAGGAGGCCGGCGTCCTTCTCTCAGAGGCGCTCAAC